GGTCTCACTTATGGACCGAGATATAGGCCCCCGAAAATCGAAAAACCATAGGGGGGCCAAGCACTTTTTTGGGGTGAAAAATTCGAAAATGCAAATTATACCTCATTCGAAAGAGCTCCTCGAGCTGAGTCGAATGACACCAAAATCAACGAAATCTGATTTGATTTAACAAAGTTATGATCGTTTGTTTTAGCTCCTTACCTTTGTTCTCCGTGGATGTTATGCTGCTGCGGAGGAAGCCGGGCATGACCATCACAGCGATAATTGGAATAGGATTAAGTTACGAGCCCAGACCCAGCGCCCGTAGACTCCCCGCGAGGCGCGTACCGCAAAACTCCGCGCGAAGCGCGGAGTTTTGCACAAGCGCCTCGCCGCCGCCCCATAGGTTTATGTTGTCTGTTTTTTTTGTCATAACTTCGAAAAAACTTGACCAATCACGGCGATTTTGGTATATAAGATTCTAAGAAACTGTAAGATTCTAAGAAACTGTTATATAAGATTCTAAGAAACTGTTATGATATTTTTGCACCTACCCTTTGTGAATTATTCCGGATTTCTCTTGATTCTGGAGATATTCCAGAAGAATGGAAACATTCGACAATAATTCCCATATTTAAGAATGGAAATAAGAGCAATATCCAAAACTATCGTCCTATATCACTCACCTCAACAACTTGTAGGGTTTTCGAAAAAATATTAAGTTCTGAAATATTAAAATTTTTCATGGAAAATAATCTGTTTTCGCAACACCAATTTGGTTTTATTCCCAAACGTTCCACAACAACCCAAATGATAATAATTCTTACCAAATGGTATGAAGGATTAATTAACAATCAGAATACTGACATAATTTATTTTGATTTTCAAAAAGCATTTGATAAAGTCCCTATAAACTATTTATTAGGTAAATTACATTTTTACGGTATAAGGGGTAAGATTCATAGATGGATCAAGAATTTCCTTTACAATAGAACATTCTCTGTTAGAATTAATGATACAACATCAAAAATCTTTTATACTCATTCTGGTGTACCGCAAGGTACTATCCTAGGTCCCCTTCTATTTACTATTTATATAAATGACCTTCCAGCCAAATTAGGAAATCAAATTACCCCCTCACTATATGCGGATGACCTAAAAATAACTTATTCGTACAAGGTAAATAGTACTCTACTACAGGATGAAATCAATCTTGTTAATGATTGGGCTCATAAATGGGGATTAGCTATTGCAAATAACAAATCTTATGTACTCTATGTTGGAAACAAAAATCCTAAAACCCCATACTTTATACAGGACCATAAAATAGAACAAGTAGAATTAGTAAAGGACCTCGGTATTTATGTAGATAATAAATTAACATTCAAAAAACACATTAATATAATCTGTAGAAATGCATTCCTCCGTGTTCATCAATTACTTAGAACTGTTCATACTTATAACCCTAAAATCTGGGGAAATATTTTTAAGACCTACGTATTACCAATCCTAGAGTACGCATCACCTATCTGGAACCCAAAACAAAAAGATCTAGTGAAAAAATTAGAAAGAGTACAAAAATACTATACAAGATCTGCTCTTAATAAATGTAGAAAAACAAAACTAAAATATCAAGATAGATTAATACTATTCCAATTAGAACCACTTCTTTTCAGAAGATATTATTTAGATTTAATCACTATGTATAAAATATACTTTAACCTCACAAGTTTAAATCCCGCTGAATTATTTATGCCAAACTCACGTCCCAGTAGAAAACATGATTACATAATCCAAGTTTCAAGGAAAAATGCTAAAACCGCCAACTCATTCCTTAACAGAACTATACAAATCTGGAATCTCCTCCCTAAAGAGATCTTTCTTAACCATACAATAAATACATTTAAAATCCATTTAAGATTATGTTTACCACACATATTAGAGAAATTACAAATATCAATTTAAATTCAAAAATATTTGTATTGCATCCCACAAATAAAAAAAGGACCATGGGCTTTTTCTCACTCTAATCCGTTCAAGTAAAAAAATGTTTTTATTCACATTAATTTTCCTATATAAGACCTAAATTTCCTTTCGACTTATATTTTCCTTCCTCATTTTATATTTAGCGACGTTTTTATTTAACTCCCCAATTTAAACAAATTATTTTTAAATTTTAAACACATTTTTGCTTTTTTTAAACACAAATTATTTTTGATTTTCTAAATTTAGCTAATTTAATTTAGGTTAATTTTAAAGTTTTCAAAACTTAAGCAAGTTTAACACAACCTTATTTTATTTTACTGTTTTATTTTATTCACACTATGGCACCCCAAAAACATACTCAAACAACCTTTTTTTTTACTCACATATTTTTTATTTATTTATTTTTTTTGTCTCTCCATTTTAGCGGTATATTGTATATCCTTTGGAGATTTGAATAAATTTGAAATTTGAAATAGAAGAATTTCACCTGAAGTTCCGTTGTCTTTTGGTCTGGAACAGATAACGGAACTCAAATTGGATTCGGTTCCGGTCAAAATATCGGTTCCGGGGTAAAATTCCGTCATACGTCCCGGAAACCGATTCAGACAAACAATATGTCATTTGAAAGAGCTAGGCGAGCTGAGTCGAATGACATCAAAATTAGGTCCCGGTCTCACTTATGGACCGAGATATAGGCCCCCGAAAATCGAAAAACCATAGGGGGGCCAAGCACTTTTTTGGGGTGAAAAATTCGAAAATGCAAATTATACCTCATTCGAAAGAGCTCCTCGAGCTGAGTCGAATGACACCAAAATCAACGAAATCTGATTTGATTTAACAAAGTTATGATCGTTTGTTTTAGCTCCTTACCTTTGTTCTCCGTGGATGTTATGCTGCTGCGGAGGAAGCCGGGCATGACCATCACAGCGATAATTGGAATAGGATTAAGTTACGAGCCCAGACCCAGCGCCCGTAGACTCCCCGCGAGGCGCGTACCGCAAAACTCCGCGCAAAGCGCGGAGTTTTGCACAAGCGCCTCGCCGCCGCCCCATAGGTTTATGTTGTCTGTTTTTTTTGTCATAACTTCGAAAAAACTTGACCAATCACGGCGATTTTGGTGCCATTCGACTCAGCTTAAAGAGCTCTTTCAAATGAGCTATTATTTGTATATTCGAATTTTTCACCACAAAAATGTGCTTGGTCTCCCCTATGGTTTTTCGATTTTCGGGGGCCTATATCTCGGTCCATGGGTGAGACCGGGACCTAATTTTGGTGTCATTCGACTCAGCTCGCCGAGCTCTTTCAAATGACATATTGTTTGTTTGAATCGGTTTCCGGGACTTATGACGGAATTTTTCCGGTTCCGGTAAAGCACTAGTAAATAGCCCTTAAGGCTTTCTATAAAGCACTACCATGATCTACATTTAAATTCATAACTTTATGAATAATAATCCTTTCAAAATTATTTATATACCATTCGATAGAGAATTAAATTTGCTACAAACTTACAAAAAATTATTTTTCTAGCTAAAATTTCAAAAAAGTTATGCTGGAAAAACTACGACAAATTAACATTCTTCCCTTAAATATGTTGGTTTTTTGACTACAACTTTTTTTCTAATTAATCAAAAATTCTAATTTAAATTTTATTTTGTAGAAAATCAATTATCTATCGAACTATATAAAATTTATTTAAATCGGTTAAGAATTCCTAGAGCTATAGCCTTAAAACTCAACCCATGTTTAATTCCCCATTTAAGGCTTGGTTAAAAGAAAAATTGCCTTTAAATGTCTACAGTGACGAAACATCCAAACTTTTTGATTCAGCATTGAGACAATTAATTTCTTGGTACGAATGTGAACAAATTGGAGGTCTTTTAGGCACTATAGAGAAAATGAATAAATCGGAACCTGATTTTTGTAATTTTTAATTTTAATTAAAGAGAGGAAACTTAGTTTAAAAATTAGATTGAAAGACATTCCTCCCCTTTTTTCCTTCCAAAATTCCCTTGTATTAAAAGCAGTTAAAAAAGAATTATTAACAAGTGAAGCATGGTGCCATTTACGCTGCTTTAAATGTCCTCCACCTTGTTTGAGTTAACTCTTCTAGGCTAAGGTTGTCGGATCCGAATCCGAAGAAAGGCCGACATTTTCGGTTCAGATATCGGATCCGGATATCCGAAGATTTCCAACTATCCGACAACTTTATTTTAGGAAACCTAACTATAGTACGAAAACCTAAATAGAGAAAATATTTTTAGTATTACTCTTATCGTCTAAATATTTTTATGCTAAAGCTCGGATTTCCATGTGTTAACTATCAATTTTCACTATCAATTTTTATACCTTAAATTTTTAATCCTTTATTGGTGTGATCAGAGGTGGGTAGGAAACGACGAAATTGTTCCCCTGATCTTTCAAAACCCGTAAAAAAATTTTTTCAGATTTTTAGTATTAGGCAAAAGCAAGAGAAAAACCAGCATTACCCTTCAAAGCCTTTAAATAAAATTTTTTCGTTTTCAGTATTAGGCAAAACATTAAAGCTTGGATTGGATACTTTAAGTAGTGGACGATCTAAACGTTCTGATCCTACTTTTGAACAAGAATTGGCAGATTTAGTTAAGGATGCTAATTTAAGGGGGAATGGAAGGGAGAGAAAACATGCTTATGCTGTTCAACTTTTTGCTGAAAGGTTGGAAATTAATTTTATAATTTCAAAAAGTCCACCCCTCGAAATGCCCAAATATTAGTTTAAAGTAGGGTAGCACTCTGTCCCTCGAAACCCCGAATCCGATCCGAACCCCGACGAATTTTCAGGCAAAAACTCCCTCTACCCCGACAACCCCCCGTACGCCACCCCCGTACGGGCAAAACCCCGACCCGTCCCCCAAAACCCGACCCCCGACGGATTTTTATGCAAAAACCCCAACCCGAACCCCAAAGGCTCTACCCAGGCAAACCCCGATCCCCGACGATCCCGCCCCCGAAGGCTCGGGGTGCTATCCTAGTTTAAAAAATAAATCTTTCACAGTGAAATGCACAGAGCATGTAATGAATGGGAAGATATACTTGTAGAATACCCCAATGATTTAATGGCACTTAAATTTGCCCATACTGGATATTTTTACATTGGAGAGCATTTGGGTTTTGCTTTTTTAAAATATTAAACTCAATCTAATTTATTCAGCTATGAAAGACAGTATTGCGAGAGTAATTGATAAATGGGATAAAGAGAGATATCCAGGTTATAGGTTGGAATATTTTTATTTATAGAATGTCAAATTTCGTAAATGGTTCATATCACGTACCGTAGTACCTACCTATATTAATAAGCCTTCATCAAATTATTGCCAATCTATTTACTACCCTTTCCAGCGATAAGTTTAAACAACAATTCCTCCCCCCCCCTTCCCCGCCCCCTAACACATGTTAAAACTTCGAATAATTACCCTCCACGATTACTTTCCATACCGAGTTGTAATTATCTCCTCTATTTACATAGAAAACGGAAATAATTACCCAGGGTAGTCATTCAAGGAAATACGGTATCCTTTATAGTTATCTACACGGGATGTATGCTTATGGATTGGAAGAATCCGGGGAATATATCGAAGCAGAAAAACAAGCAAAATTAGGCCTACAATTACAACGTCAAGATTGCTGGTCTACCCATGCTATAGCTCACTGTAGGGAAATGGCTAGCGATTTCAAAAATGGAATTAATTTTTTGGAATCCACAGAGAATGATTGGAGTGTATGTTTTGACAGAAAATATTCAAAAATAAATTTAGAATATTATTTTTAGCAGTGTAAGCTGCTCCATGGGCATAATTACTGGTAAATATTATTAACAATTGAGTTCTCTACAACCTGGTTAATCTAGTAGATAAACACTACATTTTTAGTTATTAATGGAAACTGTTATTTAAAAATCGGGAAATCAAAAGGACCGAGTTTAACCTATTGAGTTTAACCTATTGTTATGTCCATAAAAATTCATACTTTACTGAATCGTATCTATTATATGGTGTTAATTTTTAAGTGAACAGTCAGAGCCTCTCTATAAATACTCAAATATATCCACCTCGATTTAAGACATGTTTTTAAAAGCTTCCTAACTATACGCCTTTCATGCCTCAAGAGTTTTTTGCATATAAGAGAGACTTCTGAACTTAATTAATTAAATTTCAGGCATAATGCCCTCTTTTACATTGAAAAGGGGGACTTTGAGACAGCTTTAACTATTTATGACAAGTTTAATAATTTTTAAAAATTTCCAAAAATTTTTTATTTTTTGAGTAAATTAGCACCCAAAACCTCAAAAAAATCCTTTACAATAATGGAATTAATAGATGCTTCTTCCCTTTTGTCAAGACTTGAATTGGAAAGAATTAATGTTGGTAGAGAACGTTGGGAAGGATTGATACCTTTAGTTGGGCCACATATTGGGGATCAAATAATTGCTTTTAATGATGCACATATAGCTATGGTGTTGAGTAAATTGGATGATGAAGATATTGATGGAAGGGGGAATTTGGCTTATTTACATGCCAAAAATATATCGAATTTTGTGGGGTAAATTTTCAGAATTCTTAATTTATGACAACCCTCTCCCAAAACTTTGGAGACTAGTCCCGGGAAAGACGACTAGGGCATACTTCAAAATAAAACAGAAAATGACTCAAGTCAGAAAAATCGGGCCTGAAATAATCTATGTCTGGTCTGTATCAATTAATACCTTTAATTTGTATAAAAGTTTTGGGGCGGTAGGATCTCTATATGAGAAAGCTTTGGCTATATTTTTTTCTATATGAGAAAATTTATACCTCAATTTAAGATACGGTTTTTAATATTCGATTGTTCACGTGAGGAGGGAGGAGCACCCTAGGGAGGGCACTTCTTTATTGTTCACCTCATTATAAGATACACTCTTTAGCTACAAAGGTATATTTCTTAGTGAAGTCCAACTAGGTATAATTAATTTTAAAGTTAAATTTTAACCTTCTAAAAATTTTCCCAAAATTAGAAAATAAAATTTAAATATAGATAGGCTAGCCCAAGCCCTTTAAAAATTTAATTAAAAAATAGGGATAAACAAAATATTGGAGAAAATGCAATAATTATGCGTGATTTTGGGGAAAAATTGTGTTCATCAATTAATTTATTTAATAAAGAAAAATATGACCAAGCATTTGATGATTTGTATTCTATCAAATCACAATTTTGTAGACTTAGTGGAAGCCATGCTCAAGTAATTTTTGAGTTTTTAGAAAAATTTTTGGGGGTTTAATTAACTTGAAATAGCTTTTACCAATGAAACAACCTTCCATTTAAACCTTTATAACTCTGCTGAACCTAAACTTTTTAGAAGGATTTTGGTATCATTCGATAGAGAATTAAATTCTCTATTTAAAAATAAGTGAAATTAAATTTTTTTGATAATTTTGTCAAAAGTTATGAGCAAAAAAGGGCATTTTTTATTGAAAATGAGTTTTTCAATTAAAGCCTTTTCAAATTATTTTTCTAAAATTCTAAGTTTTATTTTATTTATTAGTTAATTTAATCCTCTATTGAATACTTTTTATATTATTTTAAAATATTTATCCCTTTTTGAGTTAAGAGGATTTTTTCTGGACTAAAACCTTTAGTAAAGCAAATCGGACAAACCCATCCCAGAAAGACAAGAATACTTTTCTATGTAAGGTTGTTAATATTAAGGGTTGTACCCCGAACGCTCGGAGGCGGATGTATCAGGTTACGGGGTTTTCACATTGTTTCAGGGCGGGGTTCGAGTCGGGGGGAATCGTGAAAAAGTCGTTCGGGAACGGGGTACAACTACCTTTCATTTATCCTACCACCGACCGATATTTTCCTTTCTGCTTTATTTGTTAAACTGAGGGGGACATCCCTGGCCTTGGAAATAAAATTGGATTAAAATAAACCTTTTCCAAATTTATTTTAATTAAAAATTTTTAAAGAAAATTTTTATTTTCCAAATTTATTTAGGCATTTTTTAATTTTATTTCCCGATTTTTAAAATTTTTCAGAAAGATATATTCACCCAATTTCTCGTTTGTGCAGGCTTACATTCTCAAGACAAAGAGAGAAATAAGAAAGCATTGTAAATTTAATTAAAGAATTATTTTTAAAAAAATTAATTCCAAGGGTTGTTCTCCAAGAGAGAGGTGCAAAAATGAGAGATTCCGCTTTGGCTCTTAGACTAGTTAAGAGATATGAAGAGGGATTATTTTTTAAAAGATAAATAAATTTTTTCTGGAATTTTTATTTAGCACAATAGTATTTTTATTAATTAATTGTATTTTGAAATATTAAATTAATTTGTAAATATGACCTAATTTTCATAAATAAATTAGTATTTATCTTTAAATTTATTTATTTTTCTCTGCTTTTAATTAATACTTTCAAGAGTTTTGAATACAATCCCTTTTTACAGACTCCCAGAATTATGATTCTAGCTATCTTTATTAGATACGACCATGACTTGAATTTGGTCTTGGCATGAAAGTAAGAACAAACAAAGTTTAGTTATACTTAGCCCACCGTTCAAGTGGTCTGTTGAATCTTATGAGCTTCCGGTTGATGTAGGGTAAATGGATCAAGACACATTTTCAGGTCTCGATCGGTAAATCCTCAGCACCCGATAAAGGATTTCAGAAAGGGAACCGAGAGCTTTAACCAATAGAAAATAAATTTTCCACACATTGGCCTTACGTAATTAGAAAATTTTGGTATCTAGATTATGAAGCAAATTCGCATGCTTCATAAATACAGTCCAACGACTCAATAAGATCCGACACCAGTATTAAAAATTGTATCTTAAATTATGTTTAGGCACTTCCCCCCTTCCCTCATCCAGTGGCCAACAAAATTCTAAAAAATGTATTTGAATAGAAAATTTTTTTTTAAATTTTTGGTTTAAAATCCTGTTTGCTTTAGCTATGTATTAGTTTAGTTTGGTTAAATTATTATTATTATCCAAAAGTATCTGCGGACATTTTAATTTTTAGGTATAAAAACTAGGTATAAGAAACTATTTTAAATTAATTATAAGAAATAAATTAGTTTTATACGAAAATTAAATTTTGTTAAAATTAAAAAATTAAAAAATATGGCAGTCTCTTTTTGAGCAAATAAAAAATCACTTAAAACAAGAATTTTGTTTTTTGTTTATAAAATTTTTAGAAAATCATAGAAATTCCAAAAAATAAAAAATTCTTGCTTTTTAACAATAGAAAGCTTATTTTGTGTGTTGAAAAAGTGTTAATTAAGAAAATTTTTATTGCCACTAATTTTTACTCCACCCCAAGAAATAATTTTTACCCCCACCCCCCCCCCCCCCAGCCCCTCATCTTAGCCACTAAATAAATTTTACAAAGGCCCTCCAAAACGTCTGTAAAAAGTAGAGTTGGGCGGGATCGGGATCCCGACGTAAAATCGGGATCGGGATTTTGGAATGATGATCCCGATCCCGGTCCCGATCCCGACTGCGGGATCGGGATTGGACGAAATCGGGATCGGGATTCGGAATAATGATCCCGATCCCGGTCCCGATCCCGACTCGGGATCGGGATTGAAAAATCGGGATCGGGATTTAGTTAAAAAAATTTTCAAAATTTAAATTTTTATTTACATTGCATATACCTCAATATAATTCCATAATTTTCATCTGCTGTGCTGAAATATTGATTTTAAGTCCCAGCGCGCATTTGTTCTTGGCGTATCAGGGATTAAGGAGGAGGGATAAAGTATTAACGATAAGGTGATTCTGATGGATTAAGAGGGATATCGTTGATTAATGAGATATTGGGATCTAGATGGACATCTAGGATATCCATTATATCCGTTCAAATCCATTCCGTCGATAGTTTTATAAATGAGTCTCTTCTTATTCACCGCCGGAGGCAAAAATTTTGAAAAATTTCGAATATTCTCAAGCCAAAATCTTCATTTTTAGCGCCGCAGGCGAAAATTTTGAAAATTTTGGATGGCGTAGAAGCCAAATTGCTTTCTTTTCAGCTCATTAATTTATATTTTCATTAATTTATAAAATCCCGATTTCATCGGGATCCGATTGCTAATCCCGATCCCGGTCCCGATCCCGGCTCGGGATCGGGATCGGCCAAAACCGGGATCGGGATTTGTCTTTCGGGTTCGGGATCAGAAAAATCGGGATCGGGATTCAAAAAAACCGGGATAATCCCGCCCGATCCCGACCGGGATCCCGATCCCGCCCAACTCTAGTAAAAAGTTTATTTATGCCCACACAGTTTTCGATGTTCGTTAAATCATAATTTCTAAAAAAATTATCAATTTTCTGAAAATTTTGGTTTTTAAAAATTTTTTTAATGGCCAATCAATATGTAAAAAAATGGATTTTTGGTTTAAGACTTTTCCAATATATAAAAAAAATTGTTTTAAAATTACATACATGTTTTTGAGATGTTTTTAGTATAAGAATCAAAATTAGTACAGAAATTAAGTAAAATTATATAAGAATAAATTAGGTAGATTAGTTAAGGATCTATATTTTTTAAAACCGTAAATTTTTTGAATAACCCGAAGGTGAAGGAGATTTTTTGAAAGAAAATTGAAATATTGAGGCTTTAAAAGAGAAGGTCTTTAAAAATAATTTATAGATCCATATGTCAAACACGACTTATTTCTTGCATAAACCATGAATTAGAGAAAAAACTGAAATGACCAATGCAATAAGAGTCATTATCATCATTATAATCTAAAAAATTTTGTTGGATTATCCGGAAAAGAATAATAAAAATAAATAAAAAATTTTTCGGTACTTTTCGGTTATGAGGTTACACA